AAAGGCCATTAATGTGTTGGGGACATCAAAACTCAGACATAATTTTAGCACAATACGGTTTAAGAAATATCTAGCATTGAACTAACTTTTGTCTATTACGATAAATTAACTTAACATAATTTGAATAAAACAAGACGTAGGTTATTTCAAATTAAGTTAAACCAAGGAAATTCTATTACACTGGTTTGTAAATAATATTACAAAATTTTGTTAAATATTCAATGATCCGGTAAGCAGACTAGATCTTGTTGCATTGGAAGGGAAGGCGAGGCGATGTCGCAACGAGTCGCGTGTAGCGCGGCGCGTGCCCACTGCTCGCCGGCCTTGGTCAAGGCACCCACAAGTATGCCGGACCATGTTAATGTTGGTTTCCACAGGCGATATACTCGTATTAATTGTCATTTGTAATAACTGAGATGATGTACTTCGAGATGTCAATGATCAACTTTACTGTGCTTGAGAGTATGATCGGAGGTGACTAATAAATCCGAGCTTAGTTTTAAAGAACTGAGATTTCGTAAGTATAGGAAGGAAATAATTTGGATATATATAACGTGTAACAACACAATGATAAGATACAAAAAACTTACAAACAATAAAAAAATAACTAATTTGAGTTGTTAAAACATTAAATTAGCCGCTTTATCTCAAGAGGGTCGGTTCTTTTCCCAGCAAAAAATTAATGACTTAATTTCTTGGTTCGCGCAATTCTTTCGCAAAATTCTTTTAAAATTACAACGATTTATGATATCTACGTAAAAGTTTTCGCAATTGTACTTTTTCATAGTAATAATAAGTTTATCGTACTGTTTTTTAGCCTTTAGTGATTTTTACTTATAATATATTTTTAATTTATAAAGTATTGTAGTTGCTTATTTTTTTGAAACTTCTGAAAAAATGCTCGGTTTAACTGAAAACAAGGATTTATTTCCCATTTTCTTTTAAACTCTGGCGATAGAACAAAGGGGTTGTTTTTTCATTGCTACAATGCTCCTTGTTCACTGAAGTAAAAAGTTGGAGCGTTAGAAGTGGAAACTTGAGCTGGTGTACCATTATTGAGGACGGGATTGTTCTGAACATATCACTGTTTCAATCTTATACGAGTTATATTCACCATAAGCTTACTTGTTTTTAAAAATACGAATAAATTTTTGGTGTTAAAAATTGTTGATAGTTTCTTATGCATAGTTATTTCAATCCTAGTAATTTAATAGGCAATTTCCTAATAGGCCTAATTTTAGTCCCTTTTCCTTTCCACCTTTTTATTTAGAGCAACGGATGGGAAGGCAAAGTGGATTTGCTAGCGGAGGAGACGCATAGAAAGGGGAAATATCCTATTTATGTGCGTCTCTTCCTCCGTCGATTAAGGGTAGATAACGCATCTGCAATTGCGGATGTTTATGGGCAGTATTTGCTTTGCCATTTCGGCTAATTCAGGTGGCCGGTTGCTCTTTTGCTACCTTATAATATAAAAAAATCAATGTCTTGTTAAGAGGGAAAGTGTTTAATGTAATAAAATTACTTAGAAGGGGAAAGTGTACTGTAACTGTCCAGTGAAATGCAGCAGCATTGTTTGTGGTATTCTTAGTATTTCCGCTACAGTGTTGTATTACGGATACATTGTACTTTTGTAATTAAACCGATAAGAGTACATACCTCTCTTAAAGACCGACACATTAGTTTTTATAAGGTTGCAGATGTTCATAAGCGTTGTTAATTTACCGTTACTTATTTATTCCCTATTATGAATAGCAACCGATTTTTTTCCTATTAAAAACTAAATTATCGTAGAGTAAAAGACTAGGTTTACAGTGCTAGATTTTAATTCCGCATTGACTCGGTCATTAGCAAAAGCGAATAATGTTATAAACATATTTTGTCATTGAATACTTGACACTGCTTAAGTATTGAGTCTCAACTTGAGACGATAAAGATATTATTTTTGATTATATCAGCAATTTATACAATCAGATCTTTAATCGTAGTAGACATCGGAATACAAAAAGAAATGCGTGAAAAACCAAAGCGAACTTCAAAGATTATTGATAAAACACGCTAAGAATTTGCAGACGCGACTAACGTTTTTCTAAGAACGGAATGCTGTTATAAGGGTCTCCTTCAACATAATTAGTTCACTTGAACCGGCTCTAAGTTATGTAGCTTTGTCATTCCAGTCTCTATATTATTTAATCGTAGGTCCATTTTCCAGCAAAAGCAAGGTTTTGTGTTAAAACTTTAAGTAACAAACTGTTTCATGGATTCTTGGCCTAAGTTCTTCGTACTTAGAACTATTTGGATCAACCTTAAAATATTGCATAAAATAGATTATCTTACTAAGTAAATAAACAAACATTACAAAAGGTTTTCAAAAACTTACCGATATGCTAAAAAAGGTAGCGATTGTTATCTCAAATCGACCATGGCTTAACAAAAATATTATGTAATTAAAGACAGTAACACTTTCATTAGACGAAACCATGAAAATCTACTATTTATCTTCTTTAAAACAGTATTGCTAGTGTTCTTTCATACAAGTTTTTAAATAGTAAAACAAATGCCATTGTAATTGTAAACTCTAATAGTAACTCTGTCAGCATGTTAATTAAAATCCGTGCCTTCCCGTTTTGTAATCCGATGCACTGGTTAATGAGAACGTGACAGGAACACTCTGCAACTCATTGTATCGAATGAGACAGCTCCTGACACGAATATGTGTACAGTCGCGGAAATTCGCAGTGTTCTATTTACAGAAATAGTGCCATATTGTATCGAGTAACCCCGCCTCTTAAAAATTACCAATTACTAGCACTGAGTTGCGCGAAGTATAAGATAATACTTATAAGAAATTAGCCGTGTCACTAAATGGTTGTACAGTCACGTACAGTCACGTTTTAAAGCTGTGTTATGGTTTTTGTTACTCGTTATCCTGTCAAAATGTTCAAACGACTGTAGCTTTAAGATGGTGCACCGTCAGATTGCCCAATTGTACAATTGTAGCGGCACGTGTACTTGCGGTTAAGGGAGAGTTTCATGTAACTATAATGTCACAGTGTACTGAATCGGTTCACATTTTTAAACTCTTTGACAAAGTATTGCAGCGGTTATTGTGAGATATTTTGAGCCAAAACTTGTGCTCAAAAATATTACAAGGCTAATAAAGCAAGAAATAGGTCTTTGATTAATTTCCGATACAAAAGGGGAATTGTGTAAAATTCCACAGATAGTTTAGCTATTCGAACGGAAATGTGCACAAAAAAGATGAATAAAAAGTTGTAAATCTGTAAGAGGTATTGTTTTGTTCCTATCTTTCAAAGCTTTAACCTTCCATTAAAACGGATCATTGACCTAACATTATAGTGAGTTTTCACTGCCGAAACATCGGTAATAAATATTAAGTACTTTCGCTTCTTTACCAATTAGATTTTTTCTATGTTACAATAATTGGATATTTTTTTTAAATTAATCATTCTGGATGGATAAGAAATAAGGCAGGAAAGTTATGTTACGTTTCTTTTTTGTCACATAATTGAGGCCCCCTTAAATGTATAAATAAATATTTAACTAGCTTTAAATAAAATTAATTGCGATAGAGAACTGAGAAAATAAAAAAAAAATAGAAAAATGCGAAACATACAACAAAAAAAAAACGCTTTATCTTTGTTTTAGTGAAGAATGTGCAAAGATGTTATTTACATAATAACTGAAAAGTATATTCATAATCTGTAGATTCGAAAGCTGTTCCGTTCGAGCGACCCGTCTACATTGTTTGCAGAGGGTAGTGCGATCGACGCATATTCATCAAGCCAGGACAATGGAAGCCCAATGTTCAGTGGTGTGATTAATGGAAAAGAGCCAAGTCGTTGCACATCAGACTTGAATATCAGATTTATATACCAAATAATACAGTATTTTATTCGTATTGAAATATGAATTCCTTTATGTGCTCTAAACCTTCTCGTGGTAGTTAAAAAACTTTTCTGAAGTCCCATCAACTACTTGAACAATGGTCAAGAAATACAAATACGACAAATCTAGTTTTTTGTTAATTGGCGAGAACATTTTAAAAGTAAATTTAAGTATAGCGCCATCTATAATCTGTACTTGGTTGTATTCTCTGTAGAACATTTGCTGCTCAAATTATTACATTTTACAAACAAGAACAATTCATGATTTTATTAATAGATGGCGCTGTAATAGATATTATATTTTGAATGATTTTTTTTAGTATCCCAGGTTCGAAACCAATTGCAAGATTATATTTTTACTCAGTTATCGGATTCCTAAAGTTTGGATAGTTTGCGAGTAGCTACTATTAGAATATACCATGTTGCATTAATGTTCGAGATCTTAGTATGTGAAACAGCTCATTTTCTATGCTAATTAAATTTAACAATTTAAGAACTTATAAAATGTGCGAAAGAACATTCTTTGCCGTGCTTCCCGTTTAGAACGAATTCGCGAGCGTTCGAGTATCGCTCGGCTGCGTCGTTGCTCATTTATCACGTCGTGAAACGTGAAAGAAATCACGAAATCACTGAACCGTTGCTTTTCCATTTACAGAGTATTTTCGGCATCTCATTCAAATGATACTTTTATTTCACTTTCAACTGTACTCGAGATGTAAGAAGAATTCTCCGAAAAGCGAAAGATTCCTAGGAATTTCTTACGACTAAATGGAAGTAGAATTTATATCTGCGTAACATTGCTAACACTGTTAATCCTTGCAGAAGGGATTTTAAGATAATTGGAGGAACAATATATTATGCATAAGACAATGTTTGACGTGATGACATCTAATAATCGATAAGCGCTGGATGCATACCAGAAAAGCATGACTCATTGTCACGTTTTGCCTGAGCCGAGGGTGCAAGCAAGAAATCGGCAAAGCGATAGAGAGGCACCACCGTCCTATGCGTTTGGTTTGTGATGCATCTGTCTCTCTTGCACTCCGCCGGCCGAGGCGTCCGAATAGAAGAGAGACAGCGGCAGCATTCAACCTATTCGTGAATCGTGTTAACTGTTTCTAAGGTGAGGTGAAAAGATAACGTGGTTTCCGTCGTTTTTTACAACAGTAAATGCGGCAAAAAGGTAATTCGTTTTTGCATACAATTTCATATCTTTCTTCATAGTTTTTTGACTATTAAAAAGTAACATCGACCGGCGAGTGCAGAAATAAGGTTATGCGTAGGTATAATACTTACCACTGAATGGAGCGTTTTATACAAACATGGCGTATAATCGCAAGACGATTTTGGAATTGGCATTATTGTGCGTATGCGTATGCGAGACGGAAAAGTATACCAGTACATTTAATGAAATTTTTACCCAAATGTAAATACATCAAAAATATTTAAGTTATCGCAGTACAAGGCAATTACTATATTAAGAAGGTTTTGGCGGACTTTTCAAAACAATCATTTTTATAATTTTCGATTGTGATATTAATTTAATCGTTTTAAATACTTCATTAAACTAAATCTTATTTTTAAAACGTTAGCTCAATGTTTCAAAAAAATAATCACTTTAACAGAACCGCTTACAAACACGCTATGGCTGATCAACCTGACGAACCTATGAATCTGACACTACCTTCAAGAAGAAATGTACTCACGGAATCGCAAGATTCTGCTGCATCTACATATGCAACGCCATTTGCTGAGCTACCAACAATAGCTGCTCCAAAATCGAAAGCACAGAAACAACGTGAATACAGAGAGCGTATAGCAGCATCCAGAACTTCTAAACAGGCGATAACTGCGAGGAAATCGGATGCCGAAAGACAGCGCAACTACAGACTACGCAAAGCGGCTAACTCGGCTCTTGTCACTAATTCATTAAAATCGACTGCTGCCTCCTCTTCCCGTTCAGGGTCCAAATCGAATGACTTTCAAACTGATACCCAGCGAAAGCTCAGACACCAGAAAAGGCAAACTACAGCAGCAGAACCAGCACAAATCCCTGTTCAATCAAAAACAAAGACACGATTATGGACCGTCGAAGCCTCATAGAGACGAATGTAAATATTGAAAACGTCACGAAAGAACTTGAAGCTAGGATTATTTTACAAAACGATGACAAAAGCAATTTTCAAAAAGAAGAATCAAGATCAGCATTTTTCCAACAGTTGTTAGAAGAAGATAATGCCGAGAATATCAAGGATGTTAAGCAAATCGTCGCCATTCACGAATTCCCCACCATGAAGATACTTCCAAAAACCACCAACTCAGAACGTCAAAATTATTTTGTGACAAAAACCGCAGAAACTACGACACAAAACAACTGTCAATGTATTAGATGAGGAACATGCTTATGGTGATTATCATGCTGACTATCTTGTTTATAATAATGATGTCCGTAATGCAGGTACATTATAACTTAATACTAAAACAAGTAATTGCTTTAAGTAATTTAATTACTTTCTCTATTTTAATTGCCTCATTTAAATTATATTAACAAAATTAGCAAAAACATTGAGTTCAAGTAATTGACATTGTCCAAATTTTTTCATTTTAAAAAATGAACTTGTATTTTGTTTTGAAGATGGTTCCTTAGACGTTGATGGTGTGGCGGAACTTAGTGAAGAGCCAAGCAATGGTAAAAAGTTTTGCTTGCTCCCAGACTACGAGAAAGACATTTTTGAAACAGATAAATCAGAGGCAGTGAAGGACATAGCTGAAACATGGAATCAGGCTGAGGGTAAATCAATACTAAATTAAGACAAAAAAAATAGTGTCCGTTTTAATTTCTTTTACAATGTTACTGGTGCACTAAGCTAGATTAGGTGAGATACCTATGATACCTATGATAGATACCTTTACGCCCCACCATGTCTAAAATTGTATTCTGCCCTGCAACTCGTGCGATATTCCGACCCGTTAAAGTTTCTGGATTTACGAATACTTAAATAAATTACGTGGCTTCTATAGTTACATTAAATTATTATTCTTAAAACTGCTGAAATGGTAAGTGGAAAAATTGAGTAAACTAACTCCTGAGGATTGATTTTTTTTTCGCTAGTTTGAAATATTCAAAATATTTTCTACTTGTGTAATATCTGCGATATGAAGGTATTACATTAAAAATTGTAGGTAATCATAATAAATTGTAAATTTAACAGCTGCATCAGAATTGCTACAAGAGAGAAAACCTAAAAGGAAGACTGAAGCAGAAGTAGAGAAAGAAAATGATAATACAGAGGAGGCAGTAGATGCAGAATTTGAAGCGAAATATGAACAAAATGATGCCCACCAAGAAAAAGGAGGTATTTTACGAAATAACTTACATATCCACTTTATTAACTAAATTTTTCAATCATAATCTCATGATTGAATTATTAAAAAATACTGAGTATTTCTTTTATAACAACTAACCTAATCTTTTGAGTTTAATAGAATTTAAATTCGCTAAGCACGTAGATTTGGTTTGCATGCTATATATAAGATGTCTCATTTCTTAAATTTAATTTAATTTCTCTTTAAAATGTTTAAAACACAATTCACTTATTTTTCAGATAAGTAAAATGATACTGAAGGATCGGCAAAAGCTGGTAGTTATGAGTTGAATACCAATCTAGAAACTGAATCTTCAATAAGAACCTGTATTCAGTGTAAAATAAAAAAAGACTGCATTTACCACTTACTAAACGATAATGACCATGAAGAGGATATCCTCTTCATGGTCATTATCAATATATATACAAATATTTGTAGTGAAGAACAAGCCCAAGTAGCCGACTCGAAATATGTTGTTGAAGAAATTAGTCCACAGTTTCTTACTTGTTCACTATGTAAAGAAAGTAAAGTATGCTACTTGAATTATAAATTAAATGGTGAAAACACAAATTACTGTTCAATAGATTGCTTACATGCAATGATGGCAGATGAAAGAGACAAATATGTTCTTAAAAGGAGAAAGATAATATTGAATGAGATAAAATTAAAAATGAAGTGTTATGTATGTTATAAGCGCAAAAACTGTTTGTTCTCCATGACACTGTATGGAACTATGTATTCTATTTGTGACCAAGTTTGTGTTAAAGCTTTAAACGATGCAGAAAATGGTAGGTATGTATCATTTTTATATTTATTCTAAGAAAAAGCTTATACAACTAAATTTAATTTTAACTACTTAAGATAATTTAGGTATATTCTACAATTCATATTAGTGTAGCGTTGAAATAAGTTAAGAAACTGTTTTTTTTTTAATTTCAGATCAATGTTGCTCTTTACAATCTACGAAACCTCAATCCCCCAATGTTTTTGCACTAAGTTTTGTATGATAATGTCCATCAGAAGTACGCGTCACATAGGGTCGTGAAACTGGTGTAAAATTAAAAAGTACAACTTTGACATGATTCGACGTAATCAAACTAACGGAAAAATACTTTTAATGTGCTCACTCTATTGTTTGAATCTTTATCAAGAATCAGTAAATGCTGTTGCTTTAAGAAGGTATTGTTTTTTTTTTTAATTGATAGGGATAGTTCCTTCATATTAAACTAAATGTGACCCATTACATAATTTAATCATGATATTGTATTTTAGAACAAAATGTGTCACTTGTAAATGTACTTTTTTGGTGCAGTACCAATTATCAATGTCTAATGCCACAGTGAGGAACTTCTGTACATATCAATGTGCTATGACATTTCAGGTAAACAAATTTCAATAAATTAAGTCAGGTAATCCTAAATGAATAGAATCTCGTAAAGAATACGTTGAAGTAATTTAATGTGGCCATTACTATTCTAGGGCCAATACTCAGAACACCCCCCATTGGTATCAGAGGAAACATTAGAACAGTCAAAAGCTATACCAATCGGTGCGCCCAGACAAATTTACCCTTCGGACAAAAATGGTAATCAGTTTATTCTTTTAAAATCATCACGAATTAAAACTGTAAAGGACAAAATGATTACAATCTATATCTATATTATCCTATCTCTAAAAATGGCTAACTAATGTTTATTTTGTAATTGCAAGTAACTTATTGGTCATCGTTTATTCCAGATGCGAAAAATGTACAGCGGAACTCATCACCACTGCCTGTTATATCGAATGTGCAGTCCTTACCACCCCCGCAACTCGTGCTCGAGGAGCCGGAGCCAGCACCCAGATCCCTTTCACCTCCACTTTTACCTAAACATTTGACGCCGCCTCCTTTGCTGCCCAATGTCTATAACCACGTAATAGAAAAAACACTGCCTCCAAATAAAGTCGAACACAAAGCCACAATGTCGAAACCGATGATGACATCAGAAGGTGTTTCCTGCTGTCCAACTCCTAGTTCGAATAGTTCGAAGGAATGTCAGACTGACTCTAACTTAGATCGGAAAATATTAATACCTGTACCTGTACCGATTTAAGTTCCCGTACCGTGTGCCATATGGTCTTTACCCTTCCAGATACCTTTTCCTGTTCCGCTACCGATACCGACGCCCGTATTCATTCCAACAACGAGAAAGTCAGCCGAAGGCATAATGAAGGAGATGAATAAAATTCACGATAAAATTCAGACGGATCCTTTGGAGACGGAAATGCCTATGATAGCGGGAATGGTGGCTGGTGACAAGAAAAGTGATCATATTGATTTAGATACTGATGATGACAATGGTTAGAAGTTTCGGATACAACCGAGCATATGCATGCTACAAATGTATTTCATTCTTGAATTGTAATATGAAATTTAAAAGTTTATTTGAATACCAACGTAGTTTGACTGTAACTATTATGTTGAGTATACTCACGATTAGCAGAATGCAATCTCTTTAGTAAGATTCGCCAGGAAGGCATGTCAAAAATATTTTGCAGTAATAAAGATGTAAGAAAATGATAATAATTTCTTTGAATTCTTGTATGATGAAATATTTAAATCAGATTGAAATGGTTTCTAACGACAGTTAAAAAATCATTGACTTATGAATAGCTGTAGCAAAAACTTTAATCGTTAAGTAGTTGCTGCATGGAAGGCTATGTTAGGAGTTTATTTAGTATGCACATAACTATGTAGGTATTGTATATAATGTATACTGTATAGTAATTACCGTTGACTTGATTATATCCAATTAGAAGTTAACAAGCTCGGATGGATTATGTTATGATTGATTAACTACTTAATTACAAATGTTTGTTACAAATTATAGAAACACGGCTCGGTGTTAATTAATTTTCATACTTTAGTCAACTCGATGAGTTTTGGTCAAATTAAACGAGAACGTTCTGCGTGTTTTGACTTATAATTCATTGTCTCAGTCAAAAACTTTCTCAATTTATTACGCACGAGCTGTTGCCCGCGACTTCGTCCGCGTGGTATTAGAAATCATACGAACTATATAAATAACAAAAAGCTACGTATCCCTCGGGAACCGGACACCTCGGGGATGAAGCTTATCCCATGTATACTCCAGACTTTGTTTTACATCTGTGCCAAATTTCAATAAGATATGTTGAACCGTTGCAGAATGATCGAGTAAACATTAAAAAACTAAATTAATGAATCCCACGGGAACCGTAACTTATCCCTGGATAAAATGTAGCCTATGTGTTCTTCCAGACTATGCTCTAAACCTGTGCCAAATTTCATGGAGATCCGTTCAGCCGTTTAGGCTACAAACGCTAACAAACATCCATCCATCCATCCATCTAAACTTTCGCATTTATAATATTAGTAGGATTAGTAAGATTAAGAAAATGTCAGTATAATTTGGTTATACTGTAAATTTCATTCAATATTATTGATCAGGTATTATTGAGACGCTCAAAAGAAGCTACTACTATTAGGCTATTCACTATAATTTAAAAACCAGTTTTCACCAACAAAATCTTAAGATACGTATTTTTTAGTTAGTTTTTCTTTCATTGTCATTTCTCCTTTAAAGAATTTACCTGTTTTTACATTAAATATAATTTAAGTTACATAAAATATATATAGATTAATATTAAACTGAGACAGTTCGTTAACCGCATACCGGTTAAAGTTACATTGCGCGTGATTAATGGAACTAACCCTCGACTTTACGTTTTTGTGATGCAAATGACTCGGGTTTCCGTAGTCGAGTTAACTGAGGGGTACAGCAATCGTAGCCTTTACAGCGCGTTTACTGCTCTATTCAAAATTTCCATTGAACCCTTATTTAATATCAAGCGTCACATTTTGATTTAACCTCTATCATTTTCGGTCTCCGCATTGACGAAAATCTCTAGTCAGCTTTAACTAGAGCTTCAACATGTGAAGTCACTTTTGATTTGTGAGTTTTCACTGCTTTGATAAATATTGGCACTTATAATCCTTCACATTCTCTAGAAAAAAAAATTGAGACAGCAAATGAAACGCATAGTAATGTTAATACAATTACTTCTTGTTACCATTTTCCTCAGTTTCTGAATCCATATACAGCAAAGGTTTCTCTAGATCGTTCCGTTTTCATGATAATTACAGACGTTCTGCTACCCTTTGATGAGAAACTACGCTCATGAATTGTTATATTACATTGCTGTAAATTGGTACATATTCGTAATATAGATCTGTGTTAATCTTCAAAGGTAGTCGAACTAATGAAGACGGACTGCAATGGTTCTTGGTTATGTATAACTAATGTGTTACTAAATACTAAAATAACTATATGTGTTATTATTGACGACTTAACACAATCGATGGAGATTGTTTTACAATTATTTAAATTGTTTCGTATAGTAGAAGTATCAATGGATCGATTTATAATCGATAGAACGTTATCCTTGTAGTTAAAGAAGAAAATTAGCAAAACGTAATTTAAAAAAAAAAACATTTTTCGTAATGAGTAAAATTTTTCTGGATAGAATGAAAGAGTTACACTTTTATATATTAGACTAGCTTTCGTCTGCGACTCCATCAGCGTGGAATTAATATAACAAAAGTAAGTAGCCTATTTATTCTTCCAGCTATACTCTACAGCCGAATTACGTCGCGATCTGTTCGGCTGAACATTAAAACCAACTTCCGTGAATCCATCTAAACTTTCGCATTTATAATATTCGCATTTATAACATTAAAAATGCGAAAGTTTAGATTTAGTTTTTTTGTTAGAGTTTGTAGCCTAAACGGCTTAACGGATTTCTATGAAATTTAGTATGGATGTAGAGGATAGTGTGGAAGAACACATAGGCTACTTAGTCTTTTTTTAAATTCACGCGAACAGTCGCGAGCGAAAGTTAGTTAGAGAACATACACAACGAACAAAAAGGAAAACATATTACACATACTGACGGTTAGCAGTAGTGGTGCTAATGTTTGCTTCGCGCCCAACATTAATCTTTTTACCTTCTATTAGGAATCACAGCAACATCTGTGCCTGATTGAGTTTCCTTTACATCGAACCTCCATTAATACAATAGCTCTTAATGCTCTCCCAGAGGAAGTCATGTTCTCGATAATATAATGCCGGACATTTTTCCCTTTACGTTGCGAGTTGTAATATTTTACCTTGGACGATTAACTATACATAATTACGTAGTAACTTACATGTGCACAGCATTAGTAATAAAATATTCAATTTCTATAAAAATGACAACAAATGTTTGTAGATTGTTCGGTAATTTTTTATTGTTAACAAAACAAAACAAGATCGATATTGTTGTTTTGGGGTGGTAATCAAAATTATGTCTTTTATTTTTATGATATTACTAGCTTTCGCCCGCGACTTCGTCCGCGTGGAATAAATAAAAAACAAAAGTAATTAGCCTATGTGTTCTTACAAACTATGCTCTACGTGCCAAATTTCATTGAGATCCTTTCAGCCGTTTAGGCTACAAATATCCATCCATCTTAACTTTTGCATTTATAATATTACTAAGATTGTATGGTAACATTAGTATATGTAAGTATACATCCAATTACAGTTTAACTTCAAGTAATCTCAAGTTCTTGACCCGTAGAATGCGCCATTCTTGTTTAATTCCCTGGTAACGATGGTCTCTCGGGCAGTCGTTACAATTAACAACCTTATTCACCCTAATTGCTGGTGAGCGGCAACAAACAAATTTACAAAATTAATGTCGCCCAGTCTAAAACAAAATGAGACCACGTAAAAATTATCATAACTGAATAATTAATTACAGATAATTTGAATCATAATGACAAAAATAAGTAAACGCTAAGAGAATACTATAAATTGACAAGCTTGCGGCCGTGACTCCGTCCGCTTGGAATTAAATAACAAAAACAAAAGTATGTAGCCTATGTGTTCTTCCCAATTAGTCTCTGCATCCATACCAAATTTTATCGAAATCTGTTCAGCCATTTAGGCTACAAACTGTAACAAACATCCATCCATCTATCTTAACTTTCGCATTTATAATATTAAATAAAACCAAATATACGTGTTTAAATGACCACTAACAAAGTCCTTTATTTACGATTTAGTATGAAAAAACTGTGTACGATATAGTTTAATAATGAGTACAGTATTTCATACGATGTTTTAGTAATATAATTGCATGAAACAGAAAGCAAATTCAGTTAAAACATAGCTAAAACCCCAGTTAAGATATATTCGTCTATAACAAATCTGAATAAAGTTATAGGCATACTAAGGCATACAATAACGAAGACAATTGAAACATTTATAACGACAGGAATCAAGAAAGTGACAGTTTATTAAAAAAATAATTAGTCGTTGGTCCTATAATTGTGAAAGATCGGGTGGAAGGAACAGGTTTTTTCCAACTGTCGGCGGCTTAAATGAATAATCGCTTGTTCAAAAAACAAAAGAAGAACAAGTCAGTTAAGATCACGATTTCGAGTGACTACTTGAGTGACTTCTAAAGTTATAATCTTGAGTAATTTGGTAACTTTTATTAATTGTTGAATTTCATAAATAGGTAAGGTTTACAAGAAAATGGAAAGCATTTTAAGGTAAGTTCCTTATTTTTCTAATTATTTTTTAGCTAACATTGATTACTCTACACCATTTTTTTTATTTCAAATATGAAAAACCTTAAGAAACGTAAAAAACTGTCATTTTGAACTCGCGAAGCGCGACAAATTCCCGCTCTTGAAGTATTTCTCTTTCTAATTGCACAATTAAGGAAACAAAATAAGCCCTCGTTAAGTTTTATTGCTTTTTTTTTATTTGTACTCTGTGATAATTCTAAAACAATGGAATGTAGACTTATTGCTAATTAGAACACAATTAACTCGTTTATATTAATTTTAAACCCTTATGCATCTTTTATACACGTTTTTGATGAATTTTAAGCCTTAAAAATATCTGTTCTTGATGGAATAATATTTAAAACATTTAATGTAAGATTAATGGAAGAAAACCTGAAGAGTAAAATAAAAAGAAAAAATAAACGAATACTTAAAGTGTTATTTATTGCAAGGTAAAATAACATTAAAAGTCACAGTTTACAGACATTTTACCAGAGTAAATAATCTAAAATCTTACCAATACTTATATTATAAATGTGATAGTTTAGATGGATGGATGGATGTTTGTAGTTTGTAGTTTGGAGCTTAAACGGCTGAACGGATTTTGATTAAATTTGGCATAGATGTAAAGGAAGGAAGGAAAGGATAGTCTGGAAAAATTCACAGGCTACTCAGTTTTGTTATTTTTAATCTCACGCGAACGGAGTT